AAACTGAGGCCCACAGTGAGCGAACTGTACTCAAAGTAACAGACCCTCTGATTGGTCTCCTAGTGGCTCAAGGCGAATCTAATGGAATGGCACATTAGACCCTGCAAATCAATCTGTTTGGTGCCAGGTGGAATGCAAGGCCGTTTCTCTTCTGTCGCTGACCTGATCGAGCTTGGTCTGGGGTGGGGTCACAGAATGGCCACAGCCCTGTGGGCCCGGTTTCTCTCTCAGGAAAGGCCCTCCCCAGTTTCTAGCCACTTAGAGCCCATGGCTGGCACACCAGGCTGGTGTCACCTGGTTTTTCACATACAAGCCAGACACCACATGTGGAGGCTGGGAAGTTGGGGACCAGTGGCCCCTCACGTCCCAGTCTGGCTGGACATCCCCGCAGAGGCCTCGGCTTCCCCTATGGCTGCAGAGAGGCTCTGGCCCAAGCGAGCCCAGTGACCGCTCACAGCCCTCCCGGCAGGTTGGCTTAGAGCTGGGGCTTTTGGGACAAAGCTGGGCATTGGGGAACAGGAGCCAGGCTGTCACACAGGTCCCCCCATCAGACAGCTTCATCCAGGTCCTGCTCAGCAGCCTCCGTGAGGGCCGGGCGGTCCTGGCCCCTCAGAGTGGCCACAACACACATGGATGGAAGCAGGCTTTTCTTCCCGCCTGCCCCCAATAGCTTGGGGCTGTCTTTAGGGCCCGTCCATGTGGGGCCTTGATGAGGAGTCCAGTGTAAACTCGGCTCATCCTGCCAAGTCTCAGGATAAATATTTGTATGGAGGCTGAAATAGCTCCTCGATCGGGCTTTTTTTTCGGTGGGTAAAGCTGTTTAGAAGGAGGGAGTGGGATCACTACACCCGGGTCCAAGTCCCGCCACAGGTCACGTGGCCTTGTCTCGTTTCTTCATCTCCCAGAATAATACTTCCCTTAGAAGCTGTTATGAGGGGTGAAAAGTACTTTGAGAAATAATGGTGTGAACACCTAGGGGTGAACCTAGAATCCTAGGCTTAATCCAGTTGTTCCACGGACACTCGGCTCACTGGAGGAGGAGGAGAAAGACCATAAACAGCCAAAGCGGACAAGACAGGGTCAGGGTTGTTACAGAAGCACAGAGAAGGAAGAGGGGCGGAGGGGACCCCAGAGGGGTGGTGCTCCAGGAGCATCAGGCAGAGGCACCCGCCACCAGGTGCCACACCAGCAGGGTCCTCAGGTGAGGGGAGTTGGTGTGGCAGGGAGCCGGTGCCCAGGCCTTGCTCTGAGGGCCTCGGGCAGCGAATGGGTCAGGGAGGTCAGGGCTGGGGCTGATGTGCACGTGACATCTGCCCTGGCTCGAGAATAAAGCAGGGGACGGGAGAGTGGCAGGAGGCCAGGTGCAGGCAGGAGCTCGGCCGGTGCTGGGCGGGTCCTGGGAGAAGCCACCGGGCTCACCTCTGCCTGCCGCCCCCTCTGTGGCCAGGTGCACCTGATGAAGCCGGACGCAGTCCCCAAGGCGTGCTGTGCGCCCACCAAGCTGAGTGCCACCTCCGTGCTCTACTATGACAGCAGCAACAACGTCATCCTGCGCAAGCACCGCAACATGGTGGTCAAGGCCTGCGGCTGCCACTGAGGCCCCGCCT